AAGGTTTGCTTTATGTAACTGGGTGCTCGTGTATTGGGTGCATAGATATTAAGGATTGTAAACTCTTCTTGTTGGATCTTCCCTTTCACCAATATGTAGTGGCCATCTTTGTCTTTTTTTACTTTTGCTAGTTTAAAGCTTATGTTGTCTGAGAATAGTATAGCTACCCCTGCTTTCTTTTGACTTCCATTTGCCTGGATGATAGTTTTCCATCCCTTGACCTTTAGTCTGAAGGCATCTTTGTCAATTAGATATGTTTCCTGTAGGCAGCAGATACTAGGCTTGTGGATTTTTATCCACTCAGTGTTCACTTTTCTTATGTATCAACTGAGAATGATAAAAGTACCTTCCTCAGGGTTATTATGAGTATTAAATGAGTTAATATTTGTAAAGCACTTAGAACAGCTTCTGGCCTACCCTAAATGCTATGTATTTTGCTATTATTAGTGCTATTAGACAGGAAACCTGCTTTATTTTTTATTTGTATCTGTTCACGGGGTACAAGTGCAATTTTGCTAGACTGACATATTGCATTGTGGTGAAGTCAGAGCCTTCAGTGCATCCATCACTGTAGCAATGCACATTGTACCCACCAAGCAAGCTCCCATCATCCATCCCCCTCCCACACCCACATCTCTCTGAGTCACCATTGCCCATCATTCCACGCTCTGCTTCCATGTGTACACAGCATTTAGCTCCCACTTGTACGTGAGAACATGTGGTACTTGTCTTTCTGTGTCTGAGTTGTTTAGCTTAAGATAAGTGGCCTCCACTTCTATACATGTTGCTGCAAAAGACATGATTTTATTATTTTTATAGCTGAATAGTATTCCATTATGTATATATACCACATTTTCCTTATCCAGTCCTCCATTGATGGACACTTGTGTTGATTCCATTTTTGCTATTGTGAATAGTGCTGCAACAAACATATGAGTACAGGTGATACCTGCTATAAAGACAGGAGTGATTACAGAGATGAGAAAAACAATATATGCAGCTATTATTTTGATGGAGGTGTGGGTACAAAGGAAGCAGTGGCCAATTTGTATATGAGCTAGAAAGTTTATACTAACTTATTTAATATCATAATTTATTAATCAACCAAGGATAGCTATGTATCACCCCCAAAGAAATGAAAAGAAGCTATTAATCTACCCAGGCATTCCAGATCTTGGCTTATGCAGTGTCTCATGATGGAATATGATCAACCAGGGCCATGGAACTGCTAAGTAGATCCTTTGAAATCCATCAGCCACCATAAGCAGCAGGGTGTGGTGGGGAGCAGTAGGAGGAAAGAACTGTGGGCTCCTCACAAGGAACTTGGGGACAACTGTTCCTGCCCAGTCCAGCTGTCTGTGTAATCCTCTTTCTTCCAGGAGCACAGCAATCTCTGCTGGCCTTTTCCATTGCACCTTTCTTTTCTTTTCCCAGATTCATTTCTCCTGGAGGAGAGATTAGGAAGAATAAAAGGATTCCACCACTCTTCCCCTTTCTGCCTTTGCTAAAATTATACCAATGTTCTGGCCACAAAATACCAGCAACTCAAAAAGAAAAGTCTGCCAGGAGTCAGTGATGGGATAGAGAACAAACACTAGGACTAGTTGGAGAAGGCAGGGAGAAATCAAGAAGGCAAGCCAGAGTCAGAGAGCAGCTGTCAGTACTGCACTTTCCGAGAGATGACTAGAAAAAAATACCTGAAAGCAAAGACAAAAAAGGGAACTGGCAGGAGTAAAAGGTAGAGTGAAAAAAGCATTTCTAGGGTAGTCTTTTAAGAAAAGAATCATCTTTTTTAAAACGATAGAATCAGGCTGCATTTGCAGTTATCCTACGTGGCCTCTTAAAGATACTATTTAGCTGGGTTTGACTATATATTTACATATATATGTGTGTGTTTGTATATATATATATGTATTACTATTGATTTTCAAGAAGAAAGTTGTATATTTCCAAGAAATCATTAAAAACATACAGTAGTAGTATTTCAAGAGAGAAAGAAATTCTCAGGTTTGTGGATTTTTTGTTTGTTTGTTTGTTTTGCCTAAATGCAGTTAACCATTATGGACAGACAATCCATGGAGAGAAGCCCAAAGAAACACCAGGAGGTTGTGTCAAGCAGCATGGTGATGGGGGAGGGATGGGGTGTCTGGAGGCAGAATGGCAGATCCCGTATGACATCAGGATCCAATTTCACTCCTCTCTTGGCTCAGGCGGATACCCCGAGCTTATGAGCTTGTTCTCTTTAATACTGCCCACTTGCAGGTGCAGAGGCTTTCCCTTCCAGATTCCATTGCCTTTCTCAGTGTCAAGATCTCAACCTCTTTTTAAGGAAGCCTTGTAGATGTCATAGGCCATTGAAGAGAGGGAAATCCCGAATGGGGACAGTTCAGAGAGGACTGAGGAAAGTCTTGGTGCAGACAGTCCTTCCTGCTGTCTCAATGAGTGATAGGTGGGCATTTATCCCTGTATTAGAACCAGGAGAAAACCAAGGTACTCATCAAGAGATGAGCACAGAGCTGTCTTAAATGTAGTGGACTCTGCAGTTATTGGCTTAGGTCAGAATGGACAGCCATCTTGGGCAGAGTCTGGGCCAGCTCCCAACTCCTTTGCTTCTGGTCCCTCCAGGTGTGGCCCCCTTGTGTGGGGCTCCACTGACCTCCTCCCAGGTCATGCTCCCTCCCCCTTCCAGCCCCAGCTTCCCTTATGGGGAGATGGCGATCTCGTTTTTCGCTGAATCCCCTTCTAAGTTATGATTAATGTCATATACTCTATCCTTGATTCCTTCATGGATTAGTTCATTTTCACTCCCAAAGTCCATGTTGACAATTTGTTTTTAAAGAACTTACTAATTTCGTTGCCGTTTGTCCAGCTGGCTAGCTGACACCTGTGCTGGATCTTCCTTCTCCGGCTCCACAATCACATTCTCTCCAGAGAACCCCAAATATACCAGAACATGTGCTGCCTTTGATCTTTTTCACACAGCTTACTGTACCTTGAGTGCTAGAGACACTTAAGCAGGAACCTGAGAAAAATAACCTCCCATTTGAAGTTCAGGCATAGCCTCCTTAGGAGATAGCTGCTGGGGACAGACACTATATTAATTCCAGTCAAATCCAAAATACAAAAATTCAGTTTTTGCAGCATTTGCTCATTAGGTCAGCATAATCTAATCAGCATACTCTACTCTAGTCCTGGGCCCATGGAGCCATTATAAGATACCTGAGCATTTTGGCCTGTACCTCATTGTCCCTGAAGACACGCCTTTTGCCCTTCCTTATTTCTAACTCCAACTCAAAGGAATTAAGACAGTTTCTGCTGCCTTCAGATCTCCAAGATCTACTGCTATGGCACTCCAAGCTTTTGATAGATTTAATATTTTAGGATTTAGAGAATTTAAGGAGTGGAGGATGAGATGAAAGGGAGGGCAAGGAATAAATGAAGACTTTAAAAGGATTTGTTCCTGCTTAAATAATGAACAATCGGAACTGGAAGTCAACACATGTGGCCCCTCCAACCTGTGCTGAAGGGTGAATGTGGGGAGAAGGCATGAAATCACTTCTTCCAGCTCTCAAGCCATAGCTTCTCTCTGTTCCCTCACTCTCACATTTATCAACCCAAGTGTCCTCAATAATTCATTTCACATGGGTAATTAAGAGTCTTACCTGTTCATTCTTCATGTCCCTGTGGAAAGCAAACTCTGACTAACCTAATCAGGGTGCCCTGACATTGGCTCTTACTCTAAGAGACTGATCCAGTCAAAAGTTCTTCAGTTCCTCAGATCTGGGGCCAGTGAGAGCGCTTCAAAGCCTAGCTTAATTATGTAATCTTTCACTTTCAGAGACTTGATCATTGTAGGTGATTCTGGTTTAGGTCAATGTGAGAGGGAAAGTTCTTCCCTACCTCATTGCTCTAACTGCCCTGGGATATGGCTGGAGGCCTCAGTCAGGTAAAGCCCTGAAGCCTCCACACTCTCTTTCCCCACCGCCACTCCAAGGGCCATTTAGAAATGTAGCAGTCATGATTTGCTAAATCATTTTGGAAACATTTTCAAGAAATTTTACTTTGGGATTAAGTGTACTACATATGGGAAACCCTGATCTCTGATGAGTTGAATGGAAATACACTTTTCCAAGAGAAGTGGGAAAAATTCTAACGATACTTCATTTGGTTCTTGACCCCATCTGTGCATAGTATAACACGTCCTATACTTAGTCCAGTGATGCTAATTCAAGACACTGACCATGAGTTCATTTACTCAGTTAACAGAAGAATCCAGATTCAAGTGAAGGGACTAGCTTCAATGCAATAAACACTGAAGTGACAATGTGTTTGCACTCCCCTTATAAAAGAACTAATTTGAATATCTTTCTTAAGCAAACCTTTTAAAGTTTCATATATCATAAATTAGGATGTACAAGGGAAGTAGTGAAACATAAACATCATAAAAACATTCTCAGAACATTAGAATGAAAAAGAATCTTATAAAGAAACAGAGAGAGCCCTCGTGCAACTGCAGCAAGCATGGCGCACTACAACTTCAAGAAGATTACGGTGGTGCCGTCCGCCAAGGACTTTATTGACTTGACGTTATCGAAGACTCAACGAAAGACTCCAAGTTATTCATAAACATTACCAAATTCATCGAATTAGACATTTTTACATGAGAAAAGTCAAATTTACTCAACAGAATTACCATGACAGACTATCTCAAATTCTAACAGATTTCCCCAAATTGGACGACATCCACCCATTTTATGCCGATTTGATGAATATTCTCTATGACAAGGATCATTACAAGTTGGCTCTGGGACAAATAAATATTGCCAAAAATCTAGTGGACAATGTCGCTAAAGACTACGTGCGGCTTATGAAGTATGGCGACTCCCTCTACCACTGCAAGCAGCTGAAGCGGGCTGCCCTGGGGCGCATGTGCACCGTGATCAAGAGACAGAAGCAGAGCCTGGAGTACCTGGAACAAGTGCGTCAGCATTTATCCCGTTTGCCAACCATTGATCCAAATACGAGGACTCTGCTTTTGTGTGGGTACCCAAACGTTGGGAAGTCCAGCTTCATCAACAAGGTGACAAGAGCAGACGTGGATGTCCAGCCCTACGCGTTCACGACCAAGTCCCTGTTTGTTGGGCACATGGATTACAAGTATCTGCGCTGGCAGGTTGTCGATACTCCGGGGATTTTGGATCACCCTTTGGAGGATCGGAACACCATCGAGATGCAGGCCATCACGGCCCTGGCCCATCTCCGCGCTGCGGTCCTGTACGTGATGGATCTGTCCGAGAAGTGTGGGCATGGGCTGAAAGAGCAGCTGGAACTCTTCCAGAACATCAGACCTTTCTTCGTCAACAAGCCTCGTATAATTGTAGCAAACAAATGTGATGTGAAGAGAATAGCTGAACTTTCTGAAGATGATCAGAAAATATTTATAGATTTGCAGGCTGAAGGCTTCCCTGTGATAGAGACCAGCACCCTGACTGAGGAAGGTGTCAGTAAAGTGAAAACAGAGGCTTGCGACAGGCTTTTGGCTCATCGAGTGGAAACCAAAATGAAGGGCAACAAGGTGAACGAGGTGCTGAACAGACTGCACTTAGCCGTCCCCAGCAAGAGGGCCGACAAGGAGAGGCCTCCGTTCATCCCAGAAGGAGTGGTGGCTTGCAGGAAGAGAATGGAAGTTGGGGAGCCCAAGAAGAAACGGGAACGAGATCTGGAGCTGGAAATGGGAGATGATTATATTTTGGATCTTCAAAAGTACTGGGATTTAATGGATTCTTCTGAAAAGTACGATAAGATACCGGAGATTTGGGAAGGCCATAATGTAGCTGATTATATCGATCCAGCCATCATGAAGAAATTGGAAGAGTTAGAAAAAGAGGAAGAGCTAAGAACGGCTGCTGGAGAGTACGACAGCGAGTCTGAGAGTGAGGATGAGGAGATGGTGGAAATACGACAGCTGGCAAAGCAAATCAGAGAAAAAAAGAAGTTGAAAATTCTGGAATCCAAAGAAAAAAATACACAAGGACCCAGGATGCCTCGAACTGCTAAGAAGGTTCAGTGGACAGTCCTGGAGAACGAGATGCGCACTCTTGGCGTTGACATGGACGGCAAGGACGACGCTCACTACGCAGTCCAGGCAAGAAGGTCTTGGAGCGTCACCCGAAAGAGAAAGCGGGAAGACTCTGTTCCACCCTCTTCTGTGGCCCGGAGTCGGAGCTGCTCTCGAACCCCACGTGACGTTTCTGGTCTTCGCGATGTCAAGATGGTGAAGAAGGCCAAGACGATGATGAAGAAAGCGCAGAGGAAGATGAATCGCCTGGGGCGGAAGGGGGAGGCAGACAGGCACGTGTTTGACATGAAGCCCAAGCACTTGCTCTCCCGGAAGAGGAAAGCTGGGAAAAAGGACAGGAGGTAGCGTCCCGCCAGCACTCGCAGCGGAGCGTCATGTCATGGTTTGGTCTGGTGTTTCATAAGTTGGAGCTGTAACTTATGAGCTGGAAAACAATGTAACTGAAGCACTTGTTGCTTTGCTGAAAACTGGTTAACCCTATAGACGTGGGAAGTTTTGGTCACTGCGTAATATTACAGGTACTTTAGTAGACGGTGGTTCTGCATTCCATGGAGTATTGATTGCTTCAGATTTGCAGAATTGGAATGATTTATTGGGATGAATGACTGTTGTTTTTGATGGAGAAGAACCTCAGTTTTCTCCAAAGAGGGAACTTTGGTTCGTCACACACGAATAGTCCTTTTTGTGAAGAAAACATCTCCACTGTGGATGTGGCAGAAGGCTGCAGGCTTGGGAGGGGGCGGGTTTGTGAGTGTGTCAACCCCACGCTTAAAATACTCTATTAAATTATTTTCTCATCTTTAAAAAAAAAAAAAAACAAACAGAACCCTAAAATGAAAAGATCAGGCTAAAGTAATGGATTCACCAATGCCATCACTATCAAAACACTAGAACTCATTCTGACTTCTATTTTTTCCTCTTCAAATTATGAAATATTTCAAAAATGTAGAAAAAGTAGAAAGGTACATATCCAATTTTCTTAATATAAATTTTTCTGTCTGAATTTTAGAACCCTGTACTCACCTCATTGATCCTAATTTTTTTCTTCCTTCTCAGAATTAACCATTTTTCTGTTTACTGTTTATTTCCTTACATATTTTAATGATTTGAAATCATATTTAATTATTCCTAAATGTATGTATAATATTGTTATCATGCTTTCGAACTTTTTTCTCTTTGTTATTTTCATCTCTGTATTTTCTGCAGTATTGGAATTCTATGTAACGATGAATATAAAAATAATACTGATAATACCACTGATTTTTCTAAATATATGGTGAAATAGTAAAACTTATCAGTTTTATTTTCTAACTTGAACGACTAGGTAGATAGGATGTGAGAACCCAAGATACAAGATTTCCAGAAAGTGAATGTGAACATCATCTTTTAAGAGATAGATGGAGCAGCCCATGAAGAAGTCAGAAAAAACGGAAATATATAAGAAAAATAGAGGAATTTGATGTTGTCACAGAGCATCATCAAAATGTTGGAGTAGTTAACAATGTCAACAGGAACAGGCACTGTTTTAGGAAATATTATGAGAACGTTCAGAGTTTTCATGTAGGAAGGAATGAGGGGAATTGAAGAATTCATTTTACCAAAAGACAGACAAGCATTCAAACTTTTGCTCTACCCACAGTTCCCAAAGCACACAATTAAGTTCTTTCATTTACAGAAACTTATGTGACAGTGTCCAGAATAAAAGAATTTCAGACTTTATAAATCTACACATGAATAATCTCTGTGACATAGTTCAAATATAATTTCTACTTGTCTATTATTTCCCCCATAAGAATATTACTGCAAAAAACATTGTTTATCAAAAGTAAACCCTGTACAAATCCTAACCCACTAGGTTTTATTGCCTCCTCCAAATGAAATTTAAGAGTTTGAGTTTGGAGTCAGTTGGAATTTCATCATGAGCCCTTATTAGCTGTGGAACATTGGGCATGTAATTTAACCACTATGAGTTTCAGCTTCCTCTCTTATAAGTGCAAATAACAGGGTTGTTTTGAGGATAAGTCAATAATGCACGTACTAAGTGCTTAACAAGTTGCAGTAATGCTGTGACTCCCATAAAAGATTTTAAAATGCCATTGCTTTTCCTTTTTGTACCTCTTCCTCTCAACATCTATATGTAGCTCTTTTGTATTTACAACACCTCATACCCTATATATCTCTGATTTAAATATACTTATATGTAACTGCTATTAGTATAAACAATGTGACGTCTTCTTGACAAAACTGAGTTCCTGCCCTTCACAGAACTTTTTTTTTTAACCCTAGCACCTGTGTGGTATCTGGCTCTTAATTACGTACCACATTAATGGATTGAATAACAAAATCATAATAATCTTGACAGATGAAGAAATTGTACATGATGAAATTCAACATTCATGATTAAATAAAATAAGTACTCTTAGAAAGCTAAGTTAGAATGAATTCTCAATAGTATGATAAAGAATATATACAAAAAAACCCCAAAACTTCAGCAAATGTCATACTTAGTGATAAAAATGCAATTATTCCCTTCAAAATTGGCAAGGATGTTATCCTTTCTATGCAACATTTTGCTCAAGTTCATAGTCAAATAGTCAATACAGTAAGGCTACAAAAAAGACACAAAAGGCATAAAGAACCTCTTATATTATCCTGGATAAAGATTAAACCCGTCCTTCGAAGTGAGGTATCACAAGGAGGGAAAAACATGCACCACATGTACTCGCCACCAAACTGGTACTAATTGATCAACACTAAGGTGTTCACATGGTAGTAATACTCATTGGGTGTCGGTCGGGGGTGTGTGTGAGGGGGGTAAACCCACAACTAATGGAAGTGGAATTCACTGTATGGGGGAGGGACAGACTTGTAGTCCTGGCTTGGGCGGGGCAAACGTATTACATGTAACCAAAATGTTTGTACCCTCATAATATCCTGGATAAATTTTAAACAATGTAGAAGAAAAAAAAACACGAAAGGCATAAAGTTTGGAAATAAAGAAACAAAAGTAAACCTCTCTATGCAGCTATTATGATTATATATAAAACACTAAAATAACCCACAGATAAATCGTAAGAATTAAAAAGAGTCTTCTGAAAGATTGCTGTGTACAGAATCAATATTTAAAAGTCAGTTAATTTCTCTATGTTGGAAACTGTTAGGAAATGACATTTAACAAATGCTGTTATAATAGCATCACAGTGTGATATACCTAGGAATAAATCTAACAAGTTGTGCTAGACCTCTGTATAGAAAACCACAAACATTAAGAGAAATTTTAAAAAACCTTAAACCTAGATTGTGTGTTACAAAATATAACTGGATTGGAACGCTCAATCTTATATCATTTCTCCATGAAATGAAATGATGCAATCTAAACTCTTATAGTGTTTTTTTTAATTTGACAAGCTGATTTTAAAGTTTATAAGGAGATGCAAAGGATTTAAGATAGCGAAGACTTTCTTAAAGAAGAAATACAAGATGAAAAGATTTATTATATCAGACACCAAAACTTACTATAAAGCTACAGCAATTAAGACAATGTGGTCATGGGATGTGAACAGGCAAATAGATCAATGTATACTGGAAATGGGCCAAAGAAATCAGAATTCATCTGGTGCATGTGGAAACAGCTGGCCCTGGAAAATAAAGCAGCTCAGATCTGGCTGGACTCTACCTTGCACGGGCAGTGTCCTTATTAGGAGTTCTGGGGAGCAAACTCAGCTGTGTTGGGATATGCTACACATACTTCTGCTCAATGTGGCCACCTTGCTGCCATTAAAGTTTGCTGCTTTTTTCTGGAAACTTAGATCTGTAACCCATCTGAAATCTGTTTCTTTGTCTAGATTGGGAGGCCAGGCAATGCCAAGATTCTCAAGGAGAAAAGGGGACCAGAGGATGCTGGGTCTAGACACACTAGTCTGTGGCAGAAGGCTGCTGGATCTTTGAGGTCACTTTTTACAGGGAAGTCCTATCAGTTGATTTGTACACTAACCCCTGAACTTCCACTGGTAGGGCTTTGGGGACAAATAAAGCAGGACAATGTACTACAAGGAACAGATAGATCCTCACTGTCTCCCAAGTCTAGGAGCCAAGTGCTACGGGTACAAACCAGCCACGGTTGTAAGGATGATCATATTGCCTGAGGAAGTTGAAACAGCAAAGGAAGGAAAGGCTGTTGTCCATTGTCACAAGAACAAGTGCCACCTCTGGGAATGTGGGATGATAACACTGAGGAATAAAGAAAATCTGAGGCTCTCTCAAGTCCCTGCTACCACCAGCAGTTGGTGACTTTTCGGTTAGAGAGTAAGTGCCAGAGTTGTGGATACAGGAAAATGTGAGGGGAGCTTTCATTCCTCCTAACTAAACTCTCCGTGTAGGAGGGGCTAAAATTTCAGGGACTGACTACAAGGGAAAATGAATCCTATGTTATAGCTTTTAATTCAGAATAACTCTGGTTTTACATGCAAGTTAGTCTTTTTATTGTTAGAACCAACTTTTCTGCCTTCTGAAAAAGAGCTGGACAAAGCTCTCATAAATTCTGAGCTGTTCCACATTTAATTATTTATTTATTTATTTATTTTTTTGCGACAGGGTCCCACAGTGTAGCCCAGGCTGGAGTACAGTGGCACGGTCATAGCTCTCTGCAGCCTGAAACTGCAGAGCTCAAGAGATCCTCTTGCTTCAGCCTCCCAAGTAGCTAGGACGACTGGCATGTGCCACCACACCTGGCTAATTTTTTATTTTTTGTAAAGGCAGGATCTCACTGTATTGCCCAGGCTGGAAAAGCAATGGAGAGAAATATGCCAGGATTTTAAATGGATTTTAAAATGTTTTTCACTAAGTGAAAAATGTGAAAATGGCCTTAGGTATAGCTGGATGCAGCTACTCTCACAATATGAGCAGAAACCAATCTGTATTCATCTCTCATCTCTGAATTTCATTATCTTCATTCTCTAAAAGATCCTTCCCACATAGTGATAAAGATGGACTCGAGTGACTCAAGTCTTCATTCTCCCACCTTCACAACTCCAGAGAAAAGAATGCATACCTTTTATGATTAGCAAAAGTAAAACTCTTCGGACTGACTCTAGTTTTTCAGATGTGTGAAAGGGGGTAAGGTGAGACCCACCGGAATCACATAGAGAAAAAATGTGGAAGGAGTTTTCCCTGAAATGATGCTGTGCTGATAAACATTTTTTTTTCCACTGCAAAACAGTTATTCACTAAATGGAGCTGCAATAAACAAACATCTATCACTTGGAAAGTATTTGCTGTGCCTCTAACGTTCACCAGTCTTGCCAGTATACCTCCCTTGCTCTTGGAAGACACTTGGGTTTTCTTCA